AGGACGGATTCGTTATATTTTGAGATCGTTATTCACGGGAAAAAGTCCGTTCAACTTCTTTCAGAATGCAGTCCCGCAGGGTCTGAGAATTTTCTGATCCTTTTCCTAAGAATTTCGAACTCCTCCCTAACCCCAGTTTTTCACTTCCCGCGGCAGATGCTGTCGTTAGCTGTGTTCACGGTTCATACAAAACTGTGGGCAGGCACATGCCTACACAAACATGATGAAAGCTACGTACCTACACGTATGGGACTCTAACGTTTCATAGATATTCTAACTTTGAAACACGGTTAGTTAAATCATCGTTAAATATCGCCAGATCTCATCTAAGCAACGTGTTTTGATAAGACCTGAGAATATTGAACGGATCCTGTGCCAAATTTTAAAGATGATTTAATTGTTATGATCAAGAACACCTCTATAACGGGAGGAGTAATATAACTTATTTGATAACTCTTCTTCTAGATGGAATTTTTATTCGTACATCACAATATTTTGAACTGAATTAGACGTAGCTGTGAACAGATCAGTTCGCGTATAGTGAACAGCACTGAATTCCGCTCCCGAGCTGTTTCTTTTCCTTATATAAGAGGCTGTGTAGAATCGAGATTATTTTTTTGCTACTCACCTGAATTTTTCCTTTACAGTTTGGATAATCGAAGCTTGTCCAAGTGAACTAGAGAGCCACGTACGCAAGAAAACATGTTGCCAAATACTGTTTCCATGGCACGAAAACAAGGAAACATTTACCACGGAAACCAAGCAATTTTTGACAAAACAATGAAATATTTTAAGCTTTTAGGGAACAAATTCCCTTCCGCAACAACAGTGTCGTGGCAGCGTAAACGGGGAAATGTTGTGAAAAGATGTTCCTGCAGCAATGTGTTTTTGGGGAAGTTAGTTTCGTTATAAAATGTGCCCGTGATCTTCAATGATTTTAATGTTGGAATCTCTCTTACACATCACACATCTGCCACGAGGAAGAAAACTGCGTCCTTTCATTCTGATACGGCGTTAAAAAACATCCTGTGATCGTTTGCAGTCGGTATCTGTTTACTCAATGCCGCCCGCAAAACATATCCAAGCGATATTTAGAAAATCCAAGACATCACGCACAATACAAAGACATGTATTTAATTTAATTTTCTTTGTTTTACAAAAAGAAGTGAAAGACAAATGAACGAGGAAGCAGTCACACTGTTCTATTTCCAAGAACTGCCAAATTCGCCAGGTGTTTTTCTAGCGACTGGTACACGTTGTCACTCGTATACTGATTCTGTTGTAACAAACAAGGAAATAGACCGTGTGGGAAGGGGAGCCAATCAATGTCATCAAAGCATTTCCCGGCATGACGACGCAAATTATCCGCGTTACTAAACCAGATATCGTCTGAGAGGTAGTATCAGCATATAGGGATGATGGTTCAGCAGAACTTCCGCAAGCTATCTAAGGACGAAATTAGCTTCAAGTAGATTCAAGAACTGTGATATTACGACAACTCTACCTGAAGTGGTTCTTGAAAAAAAAGTTACTGACTGACAACCAGAAACAGTACATGTTTCCAGTGGACATGCGAAGATCTGAAGAGCTGCGATTCAGTGAAAACACGCATCAGTCGGAAAGACTAACTTGGCGAATTTGACAAATGATATTACATTATTATTAAAAAACAGTAGAATATCACCCCAGGCACAACCATACATACAATCACGTAGCAAAGTTTCAAGGTCTCGCTTTTGCTGAAGAACGAAACTCCGTAAAGTCCATTGAAACGTACAGCAGTTATTCAATATGGAGCATGCATAGCAGTTTTGCAGCAGGCTATTTATTTTACTGAAAGCTAAAGAGATAGAATGTGAATGAAAGGACAGCAAGACATCTGAACTGAATAGCAAGCAGAAGCGGAGAAAAATCGTCAGATAACAGAATTCAGAGCGAGTCAAATTTGACAACAGAATACCGCGCGCCGCAGAAATAAAGTGTTCAGAACGGGCCACACCATTTGTTTTGGGATATCATGCTTTAAAGATCCCAGTCGATTGGTTATATATATATTAAAAAAAACATTGGTAGGTGGCCAATTTTTACTCTGAAATATTGGTGTTTTATCTCAGTACTTTGCTTTTCTAAATTGTTGGCTCGGATTTGAACTAAAGTTTGTCTTAACTATAGGGCATTTTGAAAGGTATTTTGGTAAATCATTATATTCTCCCACCCCCCTGCCAATCGTCTAGCGAAGAACAGAAAAAAAAACCCATTGATTTTTGAACCCTTACCAGGTAAGGCGAACTTAGTACGCGGCGAAACAAAGTAACTTGAGGAGTAGAGAGAACAAAGATCAGTTTTCAAGGAGAGCCCGGATCTTCTCAACAGTTGCAGTGTTCTTGGAAGAGCGAAAGCGAGAAACGTCAGTTAAAAACAATGCCAATGTCTTGAAAAACATACAGATACACATAGCTGACAAATGAAACAAATAAAAAAAAAATTGGAAGATGCAACGATAGGACATCGTACACACATCGTTGTCGTGTAATCATGATCCGGTAAGCGATGAAATCCCAGGGGTTTAATCCACGCAAACTTTTTGCCTTTTCAAAACAAATACTGTAAGATTATCTCCTCGGTCGGACCATGCAGTAGCATTATTAGTAAACAAGAAAAGTTAACGATATCTAATTTGAGCGATATTGTCTTCAGAGGGAAGAGCCTGACATCATGTAACTAAAACACTTAGGACACCAGTTAGCATCGTTGTACTCAGGTTACATCGCGAAATCGGTAATTTACTGTTCAAATTATGTTTCACTTAATAAAGGCAATGCTTGTCACTCATAAGAGAGATCAAAAGGCGTTGAAAGCGAGGTTAACATTCCAACTGTTTGCAGACAAAAATTTGTCTGTTGCTAGCCAAAGAGAACGGATTCTTCACGATTTTGAAAGATTTGTTGATCTGCGTCTAACCCCTCTGTTCGCGGACCATCCAAGCCTCAAAATCGGAACTTTTTGACGGTTTTCGGAGTTGATGTTCATGTTTTTCCGTTCATGAAAGGGCGTTACTTTGTAATCTCTCTTGGGTCGAACAGAAAGAGAAAGGAACGCGGAACGAGAACAATTGCATGCTACGCGAAACGCGACCTTTTCCCTCTCGCACACGTTTCACGCGTGTGTCTGTTAATCGAAGTGGAACAAGTAAAGAGGGGCGCTGAATGCTAAACTTGCTGAGGTTTATTAACCTGCAAATAAACGGAGGAACGAATTCTAAGCAGAAGAAAGTGGTGGAGATTGAATCCATGAGCGACTCACAGATCCGGCCCTTGTCTTACTGTCCTTACTTCGAGTTTCATACCCTCTCAGTCTCTCTTACCCACATCTTTGCATGATCTACTCCGCGTGTGCAGGACAGCTTCTACGGAGAGCCGGAGTCTCAGAACTTACAATAAAAACCGATGGTATTCTGCATCCTGATCAGTAGTTAATTCGCGAGTTTATTAGGTTGCGTCGCATAAGGAAAAGTTTGCATCGAGCGGCGCGCAAGTTACAGGGCGCGTGCGAAGAGACTCCGCGCGCGGTGATTACTCTCACGCACTCCTAAACCTCTTGAGTCTGTTGCCAGCCGGAATGTCCAGCGAAACTGCATGCAATTGTTTTGACTGTCCCTTTCGCAATAAACACCGGCAGGTGCCGAGGTAGGAATGAAAAGTTGAAAAGAAACCCAAACGTGCTTATTTGGCAGACGCTGTTGGCGGCCTCACGTGCCAGCCGCCGAACTCCGCGAATGTTAGATGCTAGAAAGCTACACACCCTCCATTGTTTCTCGTACACAAATTTGATACGAAAATATTTGAAATGCCCCTTAGAATAACAAATGTGTACGTATCGCTTTTGATCGGATTTCCGCTTTCTCTGCGTGACCTGCTTGACCCTCAGCCATCAAGGCAAGACAAGCCTGCTCTTTCGACACGCTAGACAACGCTAAATTAACTCGCCTTGGGAATTGTAACAGAGTAATTTTCACTTAATATGCGCAGAAATGAGCAAGTTTACGAAACTGTCAGTTTCGACCGCGAAACAGGGTTCTCTCCCGCCTCTCTAACCAACACACGAACTTCACACAACAACCTCTTACCACCCTCCCCCCGGAATTTACTTCATCTCCCTGAGTTTCCTCGAAAAACGTGAAAAATTTTAACTCTTCAATCGGCGAAACGACAAAAGATCGAAAAGGAGTAATGGTCACGTTTTTCTATGCTGTAAAAGGTTAGTTCTGCTTGAATCGGTAACAAACACACGAACTTCACACCACAACCTCTTATACCCCCCTGGAATTTAGTTGACTTCCCTGAGTTTCCTCGAAAAACGTGTGAAATTTTACCTCTTCGATCGGGGAAACGACGAAAGTTCGAAAAGGCTGTTTTTTGACTCTGTAGAGGGTTGGTTCTGCTTGAATCAGTCGTGCCTTAAGATACATCCCTCAGGGGACCTCACCCAGCCAAACTAATATTTCGATTTCTGGTATTTATCGAATAGACCCAGCTACCGAGCGAATATTTCTTATTTGGATCAAAATATTTTTTCTTTCTCAAGATCCAGAGCACCACTGACTTCGTAGACCTAAAGCTAAAGCATATTGCTCTTAACAACATAACAACTTGTTTACTCATTCGAAGATGGAGCAATATCGGGACGCTTTCAAATTCACAACAACATACTTTGTCGAGGTATAAAATCTGTAAACAGTGGCCCGAAAAATATCAACTAGAGGGTGTAAATTATTGCAGAACCTTGGTGAAATGGAGAGTACATTTAACGTAGAAACTACCGCCATCTTTGCCGCGACAGAAATAAAATAAAAAGACGGAAGGAAATTCTTAGGAAACAAGAAGGGGTCCCCAACGAGCTATGTTTAGCTCACTCGCCATTCAATTTTCATCAAGGCTGGATATTTATAAGTAGGATCATTTCAAATCAACACAACTGATCGAAATAACAATACAACACAATGAATTAACTCACAACAACTTTTAATATTTTTAGCCCTAGATGTTACACTAAATATGAATCTCTTAAAAGGCGAAATCCTTTCGCGTTGTGTTCGTTTTAAAAACCAACATACATACAATCTTACAGATTATCTGTGAATTCACTTTTTCCCTAAATATAATACATCAATATATTTCTGGGGTTTCATCTTGATTGTAAGCAAAGCGAATTGCGTTAAAACTGCAATAGAGGAGAGAACAAACAACTGATATTTTTTCAACAAAATATGCAATCCTTGTTTGAAACCTGAACTAATGCCTTTAATTTACTGTGTAGCTGTTCTTACACAACTCCAGCGAATAAAACAGCGCTTCTAGGGTGAAGCGAAAGTTCATCTTTCACGAAACTATCACTGTTCGTTATTGCGGAGTGTTTATTTCTTGGAGTTAGTTTCAATGCGCTAGAATTTGCATTTGTCACGTGAGTATTACGTCGACGAAACCAACAAAGTTCCAGTTCGTTTGCAACAGGAGTTGCTCATTTCATCATCCATTCCATAGGCTTTTTCTTTTCCTTGATCGCGTTTTAAAATCCTTAAATCTTTTCCATTTGCCGAGTCTTGGCAAAGTTTATTTTCTGTTTAAAGGATTATCGAGGCCTGACAATCAACACGTAGCAGATACGCGCTGTTGCCGCACAATTCGCCTTCACGGTTAGGCGAGACTCACGTTTAGCAGAACGAATTAACGATTAAAACCCGCTAGTTTGGGTGTAGGTTTGTCAGGCATGTTCGTCTTGCTCTCCTCTGTTTAAACCTTGCCACTGGAAGCTCTAGAATGTCTCTTATGGCGGTGGCGGCGTCCTTCCTCTTTCACCGACATGCCACAACTCAAGGCTCGCTCCCGGTGAATTGCCGCAAGATCCTTCTTCTCGTCCTCAGACGAGGTTTCAAACAGTTCGTTTTCCTTAATGTCCTCCAGACTGGGAACAAACGAGAATTTGGGGTACTTTCTCCGCTTCATTCTCCGCCGCCGTATTGGTTTCGGGCTTTGCATCATGCTTAAATCGATGGCTGCAAGATCTTGGTGGAAATCCAAGGCGGACTTGTGGCCATATTTGAAGTCGAAATCGTAGACTTTAGCCACGTTTAGATCTTTCATTGCAAGCGGAATATCGTCGTGAAGAAGACATACTGGCTTGTCCTCTTGTAGAATCTCTGTTTTGCACATAATTTCGAAGTCTTCACTCGCTCTCTGACCAAGCACTTTCCAGCTCAAATGCTCTAAGACAACTGAAGCAAGGGAATAATTAGTTTGCCTTTACACTGAAGCGCTTACGCGGGCGTACGTGCTCGCAATTTTAACTAGATATAGAATTACAAATAACAATCCATAATTCATAACATGCCTGATATATTAGCCAATCAGAGCAAGAGATTATGACAGTTCGTGCTATTTACTTTTCTCAGGAACAATAGAGCACGATAACATCAGAAACACTTGAATGACCCACAAATCAACACAGGTCAGCCCATTTTTCTCCTATTAGATTAATTTCTGTTCGGACAATACGCAGAACATGAAGATGCAAATTTGGCAAAAACATGCCTGAGCTGGCTCAGTAAATTTGTCACACAAGTACATTTTAAAATAGTGTTGACGAGCAATAGCTGTCGTGCGGTTTATGCGGTGAATATCAAACACGTCTTAACATTCGTTTGTGAAAGCGGTCAGCTTTCTATTGTCTTAGATTGACACTTTGACAGATCTTGACAGGTCACGTCGACGTCATCCTGCTTCGTTAGCATCGAGTCACAGCCCAAATTGCTAAATTGCGAGCTCTCCAAATTAACTTTTTACAAGCGCGACTAAATGAAGTTCGGAAAGGTTACAGCTTTCAATTTTTTGGTTTTCGGGATTATTTGAAGCGTCCAAAATCTCGTAAAGGTGAATGTCGCACGGCATCTCAGATAAAAACAAGCGCGCCGGTCGCGTGCTAATGTAAACAAATCAAGTCAAAAATGTTTCAACGGATGGCATTCCTAGGATCTCGAAACCCGGCGAGAGCATCGACGACACTTGCCGCAAACAAAAATATCAAACTTTCAAGAGTACTGAATTTTTCCTGTACTGACAGAAAGCTAGCAATAGTAGAATGAAGCTTAAAAATTCACAATTGAACAAGTGAGAAACCGCACGAAAGTGTGGTGACCTGTGACCCAACTAGGACTGAATTAGAAACATGAAACTGCACCCTTCCATGAGGTTATCTCGTGGGGAAGACTGATTAATATTCAGCTGAGCAAGTTATCCTGCTTAGGAACGACTGAGATAAACCTTCATTTTATGAAGCTCAGAAAAAACCCAGCACCAGTAGAAAGTTGAAAGAAAGTGCACAGTACAGGATTGTTTCTTAAACAAAGCCCCGCATGTAAAAAACTCCGGAAATTGAGCAAACTGCTAACAATAAATGGGAACGGAAATCATGTAAATGGTTTTTTGAAGGTGACTTTTTTTATCGTCTGTCAGGGCTTCAGGATATGAGTGAGCCTTTGAGTGCTTCAGCTAAATCGCTGATTTATGAAATAAGGAAACATGTAATTCAACCACAGAGAATATGGGCAACCAGCATAGCTGAGATGCCAGAAGCAGGCTCAATGCAAATCTCCTGCCTGACTTGTGAAAGATTTAGAAAAATTTGTTTATCATTTATAACGTTTGGCGCCAAAAATACTTTCCGGTAGGGGTCCGGAAAATTAAAATTATAAATTTGTGGGGTCACGTACTTTCGGTGCTCAAAAGTTACTGGGGTTGTAAATAAAAACCTTCTAAAAGCATTTTTAATTGAATGTGGCAGTTTTCACAGGTTTTCGCACAGTAGGATAATAGCCCATAAGCTCTTTATACAAGACTTTCCAAGATTATATTTCAGTATCGAAAGTTGGATAAAAACGTCAAGATTTAGATCAAATGAGATAAAAAACAAAAACAAAAACAAAATTAAATTCTCAAACGCTTAAAGCCATCCAGAGTCTCTTGAAATAATTAACGCTGCTAAATCAATATCGCCGATAAATTAATAACGCGAGAATTGCTGTCCAGTTTTGCCAATTACCATCAAGCTTTTATTTCAAAAGAAAAACAATCAACTCTAAAAACACCTATTTTCCATGTTGAATCATAGTTAAAAATCAAAGTGACAAACTCTGGAAGCACGTACGCTACGAAAATCACGCAGAAAATTTCAATTTTAATTTCAAAATGTTAAAAAAAAGCATCAAAAATAGTCGACGATCCTTTAAGAGGAAATGAAAACAAAATTGAGTTGATAGGAATCCCCTCGAATGTACGTGCACCCACGCTTCACATTGGAAACACGCGGTCACGGGATTCATGAATGATCAATAAACCTGATTGCCGGAACGTTTTCTTTTCATCTTTTGGCACGTCCAGCACGGAAAATAAAGTTAATTTACAACTTGTTTGAAGATCGTGACAATTTTTGAGAGCGTCAACTTCCAAACGATATTAATTCATTGATGGCAGCGAACCCTGTGCTTCAACCTAAAACACTCTCCGATTGAAGAATTCTTAATAGCTTTTAGTTCAAGAGGCAATCGAGCAGACCGCTCAAAATTTTGCGAGAATTTCGCGGCATTTGAGTCATACGTTATTTACATTTTCCTATATTTTCCAGCGATTTATTTTTTCGCATCTGCAACGAAGTGCAAGTTTAACCCTCGCGAAAATAAAAAGCAAAAAGACAAGTGAATTTTCAGTCATTTTATTAAAAAAAAAAAAAAAAAGAAAAGACGGGTAGACAGCTTTATTACAGTGTAAACACTTTTTTCTAGGTGTACATTGCAGAGCAATACGAACAATTTTTGAGAGAAAACACGAAAATAAATACTCTGTTATCAAATAATCCATGTAATTGTAATTACCCGCGCTTTTTAGCGAAGAAAAACTGCTTTCTTTTGTAAATAATTGAACGTCGGAACAACACGTCTCCAAGCTATACATCTTCAAGCGAAACATCTACTTTCTTCCGCTTGTGAAAGAAAACTTCCAGGAGAAGTGCTTCAGTAGAAAATTTTAACTTCGTTCAGTGATTTTTCTTTAATACCCCGTAACAAAGTTTTAGTGTTCTCTTGTTCTTGATTATAATGCATGCAGCGCTATTTACTTGTCCACAAGCACACCCACTGAAGCAAGCTTTCTTGTCAAGACACGTACCGATATCTCAAGAAATATACACGCTTATAAGGTGTTTTACGATACTAAATACCAAGTCTCATACTAATCAAGTAGCTTTTTGTCGTTTTATTATTATTATTATTATTATTTATTATTTTTTTTATTATTATTTATTTTTTTTCTGTTTGATTCCCGCACTTTAACCGCTGTAAGGATAAAACGTTTTCAATTTGTTGTCATTTTTGTATGGGGAGTCCCATACTTTTTCGACTGGGCGGTTTGTTGCCCCATTTCAGGCCATGCGATGCATACTCTTGAGAATTCTTCCTTTCAAATTTTCAAATAGTCGTGTGCATATGAATAAATAATTTTTAGATGCATAAAAGAGCAATTCTCTAGAGAATATAATTTGGTCTGTACTGGGAAAACAAACCGCTCGAGCGAAAAAGGTCTATTTGCATAACAACAGCGGAGATCTTTTCTCGAAAGTTCGGGGCTCGGAGTGTGACGGCGGTCGAGATTATTTCGAGCAGTCGTTAGTACTTGCTAAAAAGTAAAGGCGTTGGCTGATTTTTTTTTGTTAAGTTGAATCTTTGGCTGGTTTAAACAAATCCTATTCACAAAGAAGTTTATCTTTGTTAGAACAAGGAGCTGAATGAATACAAATCTCTTGACTCAGTTAAACATCCGGAATCTGAAGTGAGAGCGAACAAAGCCATTAATTCTTTAACTTTCGGATTACTCAGCGAGTTGATCAGTTCAAGAAACAAGGTTTTAATAATCGCACATACGAAATTACCTTGTTGCAACCGAACCAAAGATATTTTTCGAGCGGTGTCGGTTCTGTCCTGAAATACCGGTACACAAAAAGCGATACAAAATACCAGACAAAACATTATTGTTCACAAATGATTCCTCAACAAAGGAAATACAATGGTTATTATCTTGTGTACTGGTATGCAATGACAAGGCCATGGTGTCGAAGTATATTGCCGAGAGAGAAGCTAGCTCGCGAATCAGTCATGGAAGTGATCGTAATATGTTTTTAATCTGCGATCAGGAGTAAGTCTTTTTCACGGTGGCCGAGCGAATGATGTCAGGTTATGAATTAGGGTGATGTTGACGTGAGTGAAGACTGCAAGGCGTTTGTGTCGGGCGAAAACGAAACGCCGACCCACAAGCTAAGTACAAGGAAACACATAAATAATGGTTTCACGAGTCTAACTTCCCTTTTACCTGTTTTATTTACACGAGAGAGAGGAAACACGGAATCCAACGAGGCAAGTTTCGTTGGACCAACATGAAATTAAAGATGTTCCGTTTTCGTATATTAGCTGCAAAACAAACAAACCTATGTGCGAGCGTGATCGTAGAGAAATGAAAAAAACAAAATAATAATAATAATACAATGAAAAAAAAAAAAAAAAATTTGCGTGAGCTAGTGTATGTTGTTTCATCAAACACGTTTTCCCCCCAGAACAAATACACTTCTGACTGCCTGCTTACGTCGCTAGTGAAAATCATGTGATCGATCACTTTCATCGGCTGAGTCGCGAGTTTCTCGATCTTGACTATTGTTACAAGCGATGTAATAGTTCATCAAGTTACTTTAAATTTATTTTCCAATGATCAGAAGCTTTTGTAGTACTGATCGTAGGCAAGTTTACTCTTTCAGTAGAAATATAGAACTGATGGTTTAGTGAGCTTAACAAAAAAACTAGATGGACTCGAGCGCGGCACGAAAGCTGCCAGACGTCAGATCAGACAGCTTGGGTTGGTCAGAGTGGAAGGTAATCTCAGAAAATCTACATTTGACTCACCTTGCATATCGTTCAAAACTTCATTTACGCGTGGAAGCTGAGGCTAAAGTTGCTATTCAGCCGATTAAGCACGCTAAAAATATGAAAATAATAATAAAAAAATATTATCTCAGTCAAGGGATGGTGCGGCAGATTTAAAAATAATCCAAAGTGAACTCACTGACTGAATGCCCCATGCACATAAAATCACAATGATTTGGTGGGAATAGTTTTTGTCTGGAGCTTATGGGTCATGAGTTTTTGTTACCAAGAATATATAGATCTCAAAATATTCGGTCATCATGACACCTCCTTTGAGACAGCACTGGCAAATCCAGCGCCGGTAAACCAGCGTTATTTATATTCCAGGAACATGCTGGAGTTAGCAAGTTTCGCAACTGGCCTACATCCAGCGACGTCATGTCTTAATTTGCAACGTTATTCGTCGTATACTAAGGTTTTAAGAGGTCCTACCTTTATTAACATGAGAAATTTTTTGCCAAAAAACGATGGTCTGACAGCCGTGTTCGTACATGAATGCAAATGCATCGAAATAACAATGACCAGCTTTTAAAGGTAAATAAAGCAAACGGTTTATTTTTGTACGCTGCTGGACTTACCTACTTTGCAGGAAAAGGTTGTAAATATATTCCAGTACTGTGATAAAACAAACCTGCCAGAAAAAGACTTACTACAAAAGAGTGCACCTTGTTTATTTACAAAGTAGCAGATAGTGTACTGGAGTTATGTAGATTTATTTTGTCAGGTGGTTTTTGTCTGTGTGTTTCTCAGGCGTAAAAACGTGAATTTTACTCATTCCGCTCGAGCACGCGTGAGCGTTACAACTGAGGAGTATGTAATTGACTTATGTAAATTGCTTTTCCACGTGGTTGGAGCTTGTTGTGTTTCTCAGGCGTAAAAGCATGAATTTCAGTTGACCCTTGCAAACACACGTGAGTCTTACAACTAAGGAGTGTGTACTTGACTCATGCAAATTACTTTCCGCGTGGTTGTAGATTGTTGTGTCTCTCAGGCGTAAAAGCATGAATTTCACTCAGCCCTCACAAGCACACGTGAGGGCCTTACGGAGCCTTTTAATACAATTTCAACGACCGCCGGTACCGGAGGTAACTTAATACAACTCACCAACTCTCCTGAAGACAAATTGGCGGCTGAACGTTATCATAGGCTTTTATACCCGTAGCGGCTGGGGCTGCTTTGTTTGTTTAATTTTTAATTTTAGTCTAAATGCAAATTTTAGCACAAATAGTTTGGTGGCTCATGTTTACCTGGCGCTGTCTTTATTTCTGATTTTTCTTAGGAAAAAACAAACAAACAAACAAACAAACAAACAAACAAACAAACCAATAAACAAACCAACAAACTAACCAACCAACCAACAAACAAACAACGAAAATGAAGGTCAATAGAATAAATTTGAGAGGGAACTATGAAATGTGCTGGAATCAGAAAAACGTCTGCAGTAAAATCACGGGGTGAAATGTCTACGGTTTCCGGGTTGTTTGGAAAGTCCTGGAAAGCTCACAGTGTGTGTCCAGATAAGGGTGTCAAACTGTTTCACAATTCCATCGATTAGGTTCATGGTGCTTTTTCCATATTTAGAAGGCCAAAAGTAATTCCAGATTAGAGATATAAATATTCTTTCTTACCCAGTCATTTTAAGAGCGGGGAAGTTGAGATTAGCGACACGATCAGAGACAGACAGCACGTTTCCAGTTCCTACGTTCCTGTATGTTCAGAACATACAGGTGCCAATCTTAGGGAGCCGAGACAGAAGGCTTAGATGAAAGCCATCCTTAACAGAGTGAAGCTGTTAGAGTAGGGAAAAAAAAAAATATTGTTCGAGTCTCTTGGTATTCAGCTATTACATTTAGTAGGGAAGATGTGTCTGAGTCCGTTATGAATCGTTTATACACTTTACGAAAATCAGTATATTTTTCATGCTCAGGCAAGATATTCCAATTTTTCTTTGCACTTTTGGCCAAAAAATACTCTTATGTACGTTCTTAGATTACAGAGTATAGTATGGAACTATTAAATGAGACCAGGAATTGATCTATTGAGTAGAACTGTATGGTGTCTCTATCGTGTTATCGTGGATGGCACAAGGGCTAGTATTTCGGTTGGTACAGATCATGTTCCCAGTTACAACAGGAATGCAAATTCAGGAGACTCGAGAGGACCAAATTCGTGTTTCCAGGGAGGTATCTGCCGCTAAGCTGTGGCCCATTCACAGGGTAGTTCGAGAATTTTTTTTGAGGGGAGGGGACGGATGTATACAGGCTATGAAACGGGAAGAAACTCCTAATATGACATGGTTTGCCGCACGAAAAGGACTGCAAACAAGGACTTGAGGGGCAAGCAGTTAAATCTGAAATGAGGTTTTATTTATTTAGTATTCCAGGTGACCGGCTTTACTCTATATAAAACTGACAATAACACAGACTACAAAGCTACACTCAAACGTAACGAGAGGAGGACCATATTAAGTAAAATTCAAAACATTTTTTCACTTTTTCAGTGCTCTACTAACTTTTCTGTTTTAAGATTCCTTTTTTTTTTTTAACCCTTTCAGTCCACAGTTTCACCGTTCTGTGCCAAATTGGATTAGGCTGGCGAGTCATAACAGGCAAGTCTTCGTGTAACGCTAAATTCTCCTTGGCTATATCATACACATGTATGAGTGTCGGTAAGAAGAACTTAGGTGTAAAGGTTTGGACTTGAAGGGCTAAACTTAAATGTACAAAAGCGAGTTCGACGCAACTCAGCGATACATACAATACTAAAAATCTTCTATTTTTCTTTCCAAAATCAAAATAACTCCCACGCCGATCTTTAATTCAAGATAAGATAACTTATTTGAGGAACAAAACACCAAGAGAACGGCCTGTTCAATAATACACGCATACGCATATTGTAAGCTTACGGCTAGTCTTTAAAAGAGCGACGATTGTTTCGTATAACATCGGAAAACACGAGGATTGATTGAAAAGTAAGCTGTACGGGTGACAGTTGCTAACTGACCTTAAAATCTGTGCTATGCTTTTCCTTTTCAAGTTCATTACTCTGAGAAAAATGTGATCGGTGCAAAGGTGGATAATCACATATTTTCGCTGTGAAATCAAATGAATCGAGTATGGGGTAGACTATAATGAATGAAGGTAACATTTCTTTACTGGAATGAAACTCACACCGTTTCGAGTTCGCGGAATAACACTTGCACCACGAATTAATTGTAATCATGGAAAGTCATTCGCCAGTGCGGTTTGAAAGCACCCTTAACTGAGAAGCAAACTAACATTCTTATGGATAGAGTCTGGCAATGCTGCTGTCAAGAAAGAATTTGCTGTCATCCATTCTAAGACTTGTATGTATCTCACTCTTCTAATGTACAGTTCGTTTCTCATCTCGCAGACTGTCTTGCAATGTCGTGTAATCTCTGAACTATCGTTTTATAATGGCCATTCGTCCTGGACGCATGGGTTTTGTTGGAATCTTCACGCTTCCGTCTTGCATCTGAAAAACGACGACAACATGGTTAGACCACGATGCTGGCAATAGGAAAAACAATCATCACCACACTTGTTGCGAATACAGCCGTCACAGCTCTGTTCCACGCAGCCTGCGAGAGGAGAATACAATCGCAGGCAGAGTACTGTACCTGCGTTCTCCTCTCCAACGCAAGCGAATTATATCACTCACAACACTCGCACGTTCCTACGGTTTGTGTTATTAAAAAAGTTCTGTGTTACCCTGTAAATATAGTCTATTGAAAATACACTGAACATTCCAGAATGCCTGGACGAAAGTAAGATCTAGTGAGTCCAGAATGCTGGAACGGAAGCGAGAGAACTTTGCATGAATTTCTAAGCGCACGTCGTTGTCGGTAATACTAGTTCCTTACTAAACAACTGATTGAGCGCGTCTAAGAAAAATCTCTGATCAATGTTCACTTCCTTTACAACAGCATCTTAACGCCGCAAACGTAAAGAAAGTTAAACTGCATTAAAAAAAGAAAAAATTCCTGTAGCTGTTCAGTAACTTACTTGGAGCAACACAAGCATCCTGGCAGAGTTGTATGCTATCAAACTTGTTGTCGTTACCGAGGCAGCTGTAGTATTTAAACGCCTCGCACATGTTAGTGCTAGGGTTGAAATAATACTTTAAAACTTCTGTCCCACATTTATCACTTTTCCAAACACTCGAGCAGATGGGAGCACCGCCACCTGTGCAGAGAAAACATGCGTTAGACGACCAACTCTAATATTCTTCCCTCAGCGCCGTTTACCACCGTACCGTTCAACCCCCACCATGGACCTTTAATATATCACAAATTCGATTTAAACATATAAGGGCAAAAAACAGAAGCTTCAAATTAGTCACACACTAAGGATTCATTCGCAAACTTTGAACATTAAATGAAAACAGTTCGTTTTTTTTTTCTTTTTTAATAGTAACCTATACTGAGACTGAACTGAACATAAATACAACAGTTATGGAACTAGAAGTATGGCGAGAACTATAATAGTATTGACCTGCATTCGCATCTTTAAGAACTCTATTGTGAAAGAACCATAAACAGTAGAGGTTTTAATGCTGTGCGAGAATAAATAATATAAATGAGCGTGGAGGAGCCTTTATTACGAGGGCTAACTGTCTTTACTACCGACTGGGCTTCGCCGAGGAATGAGGAATTATTCAAGGCACACTTATCATTGCTGTTCACAAATTTTATTTGGAAGAACTGTTCATTTTAAGTCGGGAGAAGCCAGCTGTGGGCTAACCCCGTTTGAGAGCAGTCTAGACAACTGCATTAATCATTTATTATGAGCGGGAAATGTACGCAGTTGAGTTAATTAATTAACAAGAAGGAGTGGATCAGATTAATTTCGCAATATTTGATCCAAATATGTCAGTCAAGAGTGGTCTGCTATGAAGAGTAAAGTGCTATAACGTACATCGCGGGCGGTTTATTCCGGTTTATTGAAAGTTAATCTTGAAAAGTCCGGGCATAAGATCGTGAATTTGTTTATCGTGTTCCGGCTCTAAAAAAGAGCGACTTCCGTACGTCTTGGAAAGATGCTCACATAAGATGATTACATACCATGTATTGACCAGAGATTAGCGCTGTGTACATCCGAGAGATATAGTCTTGTGTAAATGGGTATGAGTTACCTCATGGTTCATTGATTACAGCAAGAACGTGCGGTGCGCTCGTGAGATACGGCACGGTTGTTAAATGGGAAACAAGTAGACAGTGTTTGGCGTAGGCGAAGTGATACAACCAGGTATTAAAGAAAGGAAAGTCGAGATCGAGCTCGAGCTCGTTATCAAATGTATTGAATTATCGAAAGTTAACTTTCGAAAGAACTATTGAAACTTTCTTTGGTTTCCAGCTGTTTGACGTATCTGATCTGCTCCCTAGCACCCCTTTTCAACGTTGTCACCCCCCCCCCCCTGAGAAACAGAATCTCTTCTGCTTGTACAGATCAGCCGAATCACCAATCTCGCATGCAGTTACAGTTTATAATTTATGAAATGACTTTAAAATTGCATTTAAAAAAATGAATGACGAATTTCATTTCACATTTGATTTGGAAATTTTCGCTTTCCCAAGGTGAAATATTGCGTCAGTCACCACAAATTATAATATAAACTGTCGCTCCAAAATAAGCAAATGACCAGCGAATACTAATGTTCATTGTCAGTCATAAAAGTCTTACGTGGCTAATTGTCAATCTGTACAGTTCTCAACATTACTGAAATACCCCCGATACCGTATAAAATATATAAACATAGTGGAATTTTTTACTTTCGAACTAATGAGTAATTTTGGAATTCTGGACGTCCTTTATACTCGAATGGGTGATGAACTATTTTTACTGATCAGTCACGAGTGTCGCGAAATGAAAAGTATTACATTTACACACAGATGTCAACGCAAGCAGACGAAAAATCCTTCCTAGCGTGATAAATTTCCTCAAACGAAATTGAATAGAACACAGTCCTTAGCAATTTCAATACATGCATTGACATTGTTTGAAGGGTGAATACAGTATATTACGCAAGGTACTTGAACTGAAAGAAAGAAACGTCAGCGATTTGAACAGACGTCAGGTAAAGTTACTCCCAAATGCAAATCAGTTTGCGAATAATTAGGACTTCCACTTCTAGGACCTTCTAGACAAAAACATGTTCCTCTCGCAATAAAGTAACATTAGAACTCAGAAAATCAAATTTGAGCTATGTAATATAAAGTAGCAGACTATCCGAAATACGCTATAAATCATTTGCAGTAACTTCAACTAAGGCGTATATGGAATAAGAAACAAAGGAACAATATTTATAAGATTGTGCAAACAAACACTTCCGAAAGACACCGGCGGAATACTAATTATTCGAGAGACACTTTATCCTTTGTTAAGACTTACTCAAACATCACGTTGTACATGTATTTTACGACACAGGAAAAGAGCAATAAGAAAATAACAACGAACTGAAAAGTAAGGAGAAAAATTTCACACAGAGGAGCACAAAATCAGGTACACTGCTTTTTAACCGCGACTTATTAACATACACATGATATTTATTGACCGATTTACTTTTTTGTTTCGGTGAGTACGTGCTTCAGACACAAAGAAAAGCCCAGTAGTTCGTATTGTTATGTCTAACTTTGAACTCTGGGGTATTTAAATATATTGAAGGCGATCGCTTACGCCCGAAACAAGCATTTCAAGGACCTGTGCATCTACCTTGAACATTTACTTTTCACCTCAAAAATGTTAAGAACAGTTAATGCCAGTGTAATGTAAAAACAGACGTGACCACAATGCCACATTATAAGTTTAAATATGACCTTGTCTTTGTGTTCTTTCTCCGCGATTATTTGTATTCAGGTCGTGGCATATCGCACGTTTTCTCGCCCAGCATGGCTCTCACGTGCTCAACAGGACTTTTGATCGATATGGTTTTGACTCAGCTGGTTTACAAAGACGAATTCAACAAACTGGTCGTCCTGAGATGTCTTTTTACGGTGACAACATCACGTTTAGAACTAGAACACCTGGTGAAGACCTTGACTAAGGGTTTTGTCTTTTGGTTGCTCTTTTTCCAAAAAAATGAAAACCAAATACAATGTTGAAAAAAAAAAAAAAAGTTAAAAATGGTGAACAACTTCACGATGTTTCCCAACTTTCTCAGTGTATGTACAGAGTAGTAATAGAGAACAAATGTTTCTCGGCTCAGTCTCGAAAATGTTACGAGAGTGGGAAATACACTACTAAAACACAAGCACAAATTAAACTGATTTTAGCATTTGCCCATCTGCAGCGCGATAAAGACAGCGTCAACACTACGCCGGAGAAATTTGAAAACGCAGCTCTTTTTTCTACGGTTGGTCCTACCGTCCACATTAATCCGTCATGAAAACGGAGCTTTTCGAAAACGTTCTTCAAAACGCTCTGTGATCATTTTGTTAGCGAACGGGACTTTGGGCGCGATGCCCAACGAGTTTGCCAAGCAGAAAGGTCTCTGATGAGTCCCTTGGCCGGGACGAAACGAGCTGCGTAAGACTAGCCACGAACAATGTATTATCGCTCTTCAAACCGCAGGAATTTGAAAACGGCGGCTTTTCGTTTCCGTGTGGACGGTAAACATTTTGAAAACGGAGCTTTTCGAAAGCGATGGCATCACGATAATCATGCGATTTCCCTAACTAAGGTTTCCTCAAAAACAAATTCAAAATGACCGACGATTGTTGCGTTTTTAAATTTCTCCGGCGTTGTGTGGACGGAGCCAAAGATCCGCGTCAAAGGTACTTCATTTACTCCTTTCTGTTGTCAAGAAAACAAATACATTCCTCAGAAGCTTGTTGAAGTCCTTCTAAAATGACAAGATTCAGTTGGAAGCATCGAAAAATATACATTCATAGCAATATCTGATAGACATCACACCAAAATTTCGAATATCCCATTGTGGTAGATGTACACTTGGTAAGACCGTTATCGTAAAATATTGTTGTTATGTGGTTTCCTGACGTAAAGGAATACTCATTTCTGCCTTTCACGTACAAGAAGGAACGCCAATAAAATGGCATTCATACTTAAGAAAGTTATGTGACGGCGAGGGCGTTTTGTTTTCTTGTCAAGATCTTTTGCTCAAGGCAATATTGGTTCTGAAGTGTTCAGTTCATGGTGTTCATTTGCCAAGAGCGAGGGTCGAAGTCCACGCTGGTTTCCTTCATGTTTTGGTACTTGATATTTCCTACTGGACGATGTTTTGCCTAAGATCGTGTCTGCTCAATAAAATACATCAATAACGAATTTAATTCCATGCAACATCCACAGTTACTAACAAGTGTCTCACATTTTGATATTTTCTACCCTAGGATGTTTTGCGTAAAATACTCTACTCAATAAAACATCATACATGCCAAATTAATTTAATGTCCTTGCCGGTAACGCGCAGTGATTTGAAGAATGTACATGAAGGACTTCCCCGCGCTCCACACTTAACATATTTTAGAGGGCGTTCTGTTTTTACGTAGGTACAAACAAAATAGAAAGGAAAAGCAGGTAAATCTTACAAGGTGAGAACTACATTGATGCGACCTTGTTGGGAAAGTACAATTAAATTTCGGACGAAGGTAAAAATATGGTACAATTGTCATTAAAAACGTAACGTTTCTCTGAATATTGAACTGCCAAAGAAACAAACCACTAACATAAGCACACCATTCATGCACTCACACAAAACGAAATTAGCTTTGGAATGTTATCATGTCCACGGGACGAGCAGAAATAATAATAATAAAAAATATAACGATCAAACTCCAAAACTGATCTACTCAACAAACCCATTTCAAAAGGCATATCTCATCAATAAACGAAAAAAACAAAGAAGAAGACATTATATTTATCTATGTTTCAAGCTCTCAATGTTTCAGATGATATATTCCTATGCTAATATACCAAGATAATATACAATATTGCCGGCGGTCTTAATTCCAACATTGCGTTTTGACCACACGTAGGCAATTGCTTACAAGAATAACTCTTAGGCAAAACGTACAGAAAAAACTGGTTATAAACGAATGTAAACATACCATGATTAAATTTTGAACTTTTAAATTTTGCTTGAACATCTGTTTAAATATATAAAACGCGAGATCAAGGCAGAACGTGATCGACCAACTTGGTTTTAATTTAAAATGACGACCTTGTATTTTTACTAAAAATCATGAGACATCGCACGTTTTCCGCAAAGACAATTCTTTCTTTTCGTGATGACATGGAAGGTAGATTATAATGCTGACCACAGACAAAGAATATAGTGTTTTAATCCATAGTAATATCAAATTCACAACCCTTCACGTCAAATGCAGGATTAGTCCGATAAGCGTCTTGGATAAAATGATAGTCAAGGACCTCATGTAGTCACGAAACATGCGTATAACCGGCAAATTTAACTTTGAGCCAGGAAGTCTGCCATGCAATAAAACAGTCGTAAAATACGAAGGTGGACCGGGAGTAGGAATTGAGGTTATCCTGGCGCAATCGACACGGTGTAGATTCTCAACCTCTTCGTGTACTTGTTAAAATTAATAAATATATCTGGCTTCATTGCTCTTTTTCCCACTGGATCCAAGACTACTTTGGGTCCTGAAAACATCACGCACTGGTTTCCGTTTGCTGTAGAGCCGTGAGATGGGGCATGAACATACAAGAAACATACAAAGTCGTGAGACACAGCATGGAAACCCGGGCACGTAACACATGGAAAACTGACAATGTTATTTTTTATAACTTGAAATATTTTGGTTGTTTTTATTCAAACCCACAGAGTGAATCAAGCCCATAACTGACACGTAGGTTACCTACTCCGCCTGCTGTGCGGGTTGCGTTTCAAAATAACCCAGTGAATTATACCAGCAGGTGTGTATTTTTCTCTAGCAGGTTCAACGAAGCTTAGCCCGGCTTTTAAGCGCAAAGCATATAAATATAGGACGCGAGTTACGGGAGCGCGCGAGATGTTGGGCGCCCAAGAGTTACAGGGTGCACGCGTGTTGTAGAGCACACGCGAGTTGCAGGGCGTACGCGTGTTGTAGTGCACCCACGAATTGCAGGTCAAGCGCGTTTGCAGAACGCGCGGGAGAGACGCGTATTATCCTCCAATGGGAAGGAAGAAGAAATGCAGTCTAACAGAAAAATTACCGGAAAAAGGTTGCAAGCATAAAAACTACTCGTCAGCTCATACATTCAAACAAACCAAACATATTAAAATAATAAAAAAAAAAACAAGGAAAAAAATAAAACAAAACAAAACAAAAAAGTAAACAAACTGAACAAAATGAATGCCCATTCAATTGAAAGCAACTGAGCAATGCTTTTATGCGGAACTGTTCAATATATAAGTATGCTGTACATGGTGGTTGTAACATTTAATTTTGTGTAAAAAATCCTAGTGTGTGTTCGTTCAAATAAAGGTCTGCTGTTGTTCATCTCTTATATGCTCAGCTCAGCTTAGCCCAACGAAAGACAACTGAAGCATCACATGTTTTCGATCAAAAATTGTGTTAAACTGAATGATAATAACGAACAATCACGGGGAATGTGCATGGGAATGGGAACAGGCCTGTTAGTCAAAACAAATGCGCAACCTGCTCATGTGATTTAAACATGTCGTAACCTAACAAATCATGTACATGTTAAACAACCTACCACAAATGTTTTCACATTCCGCAAAGCTCGATGAACTGTTTTTCACCGAGCAACTGCTCTGTATGTCCGATAAATAATTAACACAAGCCTGTGTCAGGCTAGTTTTCTTGGCTGGAGTCAGAGCATCTTGTAGGTCCCCTAAACACGGGCCATTATCTGGGGGAAGTGCGCACAGGCTCCCTGAAAAAAGGCCACTGGGTTAGCAAGAGTTTCATCCAAGGGATGGGGGGAGGGGAGGGAGGGGCCGTGCTCAAGGATATGGTTTTTAAGCTGACCGGGTCTGAAATGAGGTTCTCAATTTTGTCTTTTTCGCCTAAAATAACGTGTCATTCTGTTGTGCTGTCTAAAACGGAGTGTGCTTTGAGATATAAAGGCAACTTGACCTCCATAGCTAGAAACATCGAAAATGAGAGTTCTTTACAGCAATATAGCCGTACTTTTTCCAGGAATAACACAAATTGAGTATTACGGAGTAATAGTCATTATTGTTCAAATTTTCTTTCCCTTGGTTGATTACCAATGGAACCTTCCTGATTCTTTCAGGAAAAACACAAGTTCTTCGAAGAATACTTTAATGAACTTTTTATGAGTTCCCTAATAATACAATATACATTGTGACAGTCTTCACTTTGAGTGCAAACAAAAGATGTGTTCTTATAAATGACTTACCAATTCTACAAGTTGGGCCTGAGTAGCCAAGAGCGCATTGACAAGTACCATTGTTACAAGTTCCACCATTTAGACAGTCTGGCACACAGGCAGCTAAGTGAAATTAGAAACAATGTAAACTTAGGTGAAGGCTGAATACCTAATAGGTAATGAAAATCTTATGCATTGGATCCACAACCAAAATTACATAAACATGTAATGTTTCCTTTTTTCAACACACCAGACCGCAAGAAAAGACCTGACATTTTCCAGTTCAAGTCAAAATATTTATTCTCGTTAACTTTCTTTAAAATCCATACGGAGAACTCGGTGATACATCAATACCTTCACTGATTATTTTTGGGAATTCTCGACACCTCTCTGCTCGAACACGTGGTGATATTTTTAAGTACCTTGGCGCACACAATTTCTGAGATGTTTTAGTTCACCGTCCGTGGAAATAAAATAGGAGGAGAAAAATCGTGAATTACAGCGATTTCTTTAGAGTTCTATTCAGTAGCGACTGTAGTAATGACAAACTCAAGTTGTATGGGTTCATAAAACCAGTATTAACTTACATATCTCGCATCTTTTGCCACTGTACCCTGGAGGGCAAGTACAGCTCTCTGGTTCAGTACATTCACCATTGTGGACACAGTAGTTATCACAGATAGCTGTGAAAAGAAATGAACAATTAGTGCGAATTTACTGCAACCAATTACCACTGCCAAGCACCGCCTAGCTGTCCTCATGGCGAATGATATGTTCTGGGAAGATATGTTTTACCGTAAAGCCCTGTCCAAACGGGAAATGTTTGGGAATCAAACACGATCAAACATTGTTTGGTGACCACACACTTTGCTCGTTCAAACATCTTTGATACCGTTTGACCCCTCAGTTCAACATCAACCTGTCCGGTCACCAAACAATGTTTGACCGTGTTTGATCGCCAAACATTTTCCCTTTGGACAAGGCTTAAGACCACTTTCAAAAGTAAGCTGCATGAATGGCGAAGGTATACGGCAATAAGGCGTGGATCGAGATGAGATTTCCACCCTGTAAGGTTGAGACTTTGATTGATCCTCATCGTCATAAATGGTCCGTTCAGTATTCCTAAAGTTATTTCACTGCAAACTGAAGTGTCTTCCTAGTCTGCATGAGGTTATATCATTACTGTTATTAGAAATTGGACAAGGAAAAATGATTGCTTCAAATGTAGTTTGGTCATTATCATCTGTGCTGCCGTTTCATCTATTTTCCACGAGATGTCAGTTTTCCAGATTTGTCTTACATCTTGTCCGCTGTCTAGTACGAAAACTAGACCTCGCCAGATACAAGGGGAACTAAACTTACGTGCTTGACATAATGAGCCTGTATAACCCTTTGGGCAAGTGCAGTTGTTGAAGCCGGGATCAGAGCATTGACCTCCGTTAAAACAGGACACGGAACATACAGCTAAAGAGAGAAGAAAAATGAGAACAGGTTGAAAACAAAATGGTTAGCCAAATAGTATATCATTACTGCTTAGGACTTTGAAAACGTAGCTTTTCGAAAACGATGACGTCACGATGATCACGTGATTTCCCTGCCCGAGTTTCACTCAAACAGAATTCCAAAATGACCGGTGATTGCTGCGTTTTTAAATTCCTCCGGTGTAGTGTGCACGGAAAACATTTGATGCGTTTTCAGAGTGAAACCTCCGTTTTCAAATTCCTCGGGGTTACCGTGGACGGGGCTAAGACGATGGAATTGGTTTAAAATAGCCATCTTGTCTAATAGCAATATAACATACAAAGGAATCATATGTAAAATGTGCTTTGCGTTTGAAGGAAAGAAACGCCCATTGCAATTATGTTTAGCCTCACTTACAACAAAAAAACATATGTTTTTTTTTGGTCGGCCAACTGCGTTAGTTAAGTGTGTTGTGATTGGTTAACTTTGCTTGTGTTTTTGAAAGTGCACGCTCCCGTGTACGCTTTACATACAAGGAGAGGTAGACGACAAACGAATGAACAATTAAATTTTTACCGTTTTCACAATGTTCCCCCTCGTAATTCAAAGGACAAATACACTGTCCCTGTACACATGTTCCACCATGTTGGCATTGCTCGGCACAATCACCTGAGAAAAGAGAAGAAAAGCGTGACACACTCTGTGACAAACTCAAGAAGATTGCGTTACAGTTGCAAGAAAATTGTGTTACATTTAACCTCACAAGAATTTCGAACGAGAATGGAGCTCTGTTACTCACTTAGACCAAATGGGTTTGGTTTAACTGGAGGTTTTATAGGCTCGTCGTGGAAGCCATTCGAAGAGAGAGCATATTCCGCTTGTGCGAAGACACCCTCTTTTGCGTCTATCCAGTCCTTTACAGGAAAGTTGAACATTTTTCCTTTCATATCCTTGACAGAAATCTGAAAAACAAGAAAAGAAATAATGAACAAAATAATGGGCTCAAAAGAACAGTGTAGCGACGAAACCTTGTAAAAAAACGGAAAAGGAACCGGGCAGGACTTTCATTTTGTGTAAAAGGCGTTCCTAACTTTTGTCAAGGAAACTCTCAAATAAAAACTACTGAGCAGTGGTATGTTATTTTGCCGTACAAGGTGGGTTTAACTTTCCATTCTGTGTACGACTTTCTAGTGTGTCACTTTTCAAATAAAAGCTACTGAACATTTGTCAACATTTTGGAGTTGTTCGGCCAGTCAAGGCTGTGTTAACAGTCTAGTACGTATCAAGAAAACCGGCTCAACAAATTTAAACGATCAGAGAGACTGAATGGAAGACAAATTCTCCCGAGGGGAGATGGTACTGGTATAATCCTGTTGGTGCAAATAGTTGCGTTGGGGTGGCTGGTGGGGTGGCGGTTGTACTCATGTATTTAAAAGTGAAAGTAAAAGCTGCCGACAAGTAAGGCATGTTCTTGCTTTAAAATTGCTCTAACCTGGTAAACTCACCATGCGTGGGAGTGAAAGTGAAGTTCGCATCTGGCTAGATTGCGAACAGGCTCTCTTTTGCTCTAAAACCCACAAGATCAGTGTAGGATGAACGCGAAAATAGCGAGCGCGATAATCGAGCGGCAAAAGCCGCTCGCCTCGCGCTCCCGCTGTTCCCGCGTTCGACCCACGGATTGAAAAGCAGGAGGAGAGACTGCTTTCAGTAGAGCATTCGGCCAGAGATTAATAGCTCTTAACAGCGCTTCGAAGCTCGCGCATCTTTTCGCCGACCAATTGATGTCCACAGTGATTTCCAGCGGAAAGAAATTAGGGAACAAATATCCCACTAACTAAAATTACAGACGCGATGCTTTGGGTGGCGTTTCTCCGCTCTTTAATAATTTTCTCTTTACTCTCAACGTATTTTTTGTGAATCACACTCCACCGTTCTAGAATTGTTTACTAAAATTGAGTTCATTCAACTGCAGCTTAATTGTTGTGCCGAAAGTTTTCCGAACGACGGCGTCGATTTTGGCTTGGCTTCGGACGAAGTCCCTCAGGGCTACCAAGAACAAAAGGCTATTCACTTTTGCTCAAAGTGAGATGTTGAGCCGGAACAACAGACCATTTCTTGATACGAAATGATACTCTGCCTCACTCAGCGTGAGATCTGGAGTGTAAGAGTCACCTTTTCTAAGAACCACTTCTTTGTTTGACCAGTATTGTACAGCTCTACAAACACTTTGGTGATTAAACCGATGTCTGAAGCTGCTACTCGGAAGGCGTCGGTCCTGAAAAAATGCAACACAAAATAATAGTCATAATCTAGCTAGCGCCTATTTACCTTCATGTTACAGTGCTGCGCGTCTCACCGTTGCTACTAGGAAAGTTTTTGATTAATTTTTGCCTTTTTTTCGTTTCAAAAGGCCAATGAAACTGCGACACATTGCCGCCAGTTTTAAACGTTCGCAGGTTGAAATTCCCACGAGAGTGAAAAGTGACTCGACAATTCAACTGACGTCACAAATTAACATCTCCGCCCTCGACAGTTCCCATGTTTGATTGGCCGAATGAAATGGAAGCCAGCAAAAAGTTGTCAAAACGCTTGTCATAAAGAGTCAGAATTTAGTCAAAAGCTTTCTCAAATGGCCCCGGCACGTTGCATAGCGCTGTAACTGACATAAAAAAAATAACGTATTCTGATAATAAGCGTTTCTTTTGTACAAAAGTTGACTAAAACTTAAAGCAATGTGGATAATTCAATTCACGTCGCAACCGAACATTTACTTACTGTCCAGTCTTGAAGTGTCTTGTTCCAGCGGGAAGATTGGAGGTCAGCGGTATCTTGTCGGTGGACCCCCGATCACCTGTAAGACGGACAAACACCTTCCCGTCCGTACTCGCCTGGTATTTATTCCCTGTCTTGGTTGAGATTGTGTAGTAGTACGCTAAATGGAAATAAAGAATTGAGAGGATGATGTAAAAGAAATGAATAATGTTTTTTTTTTTTCAGTCCCATGCCAGGTTCCTGACGTTTGAACGGAAAACTCGGTATACAATTAACCAATTTGTGATCCAAGCTAACCATAAATTCTCTACTGATTACCAAACTCTTCTTATAGCCTTAAATCTGGCAAGGTTAATCAGGACCATTTTGGTCAGTTGACCTTCTGCTGTCTGCTTAGTCATCGTTTTTATAGTTTGAATTTTATGTCGTAACGCTATGAGAACCAATCAGACATGTTCATCGAATACGACCTTGCATTGAAGTTAATGTATATACAGTGGAACCTCTCCATAACGGCCACCTTGGGGACAGAGGAAAGTGGCCGTTGTAGAGAGGTGGCTGTTATTGGGAGGTAGGGGTGTAATATTACACCTGTTTTTTTCGGGGGTACAACATTTTTATATTTAAAAAAATGCCTACTGTTGCATAGAAATACCTAACACAATCAAATATATCAGTAAAACAGAAATCAAACAGAAACAAAGACCAAGGACGCGCAGAACGGATCAAGTATCCTGACCTTTTACAATATAACATGGGGTTTTGTATACACTGTTCTTCATTGGCCGTTGTGGAAAAGTTACTTTGGTAGTTTGGGACGCGCTTTGTTGGCCTTTGCCGTTGTAGTGGAGAGGTGGCTGTTGTAGAGAGGCTAAAATCCGCCGGCACGAAAAAAAGTGACCGTTGTCGGGAGGTGGCCGTTAGTGGAGCTTCTACTGTAATACGTCACGTATTGTGGCATATTTTCTTCAGTGTCAGCTCTAACACAAAACTTACGTGGATTTGTGATGGTGACAGGCACAACCTTGTCAACGTCCAAATCAGGTTTAATGTTCATCACCGGCAAGTCATTCAGGAACAGTGGTTCCTTGAACGGTTTGGAAAGAGCGACAAAGTCCGCCGGCTCCATCTTGAACCTGGAGAACTTCAGCGAGAGAGATTTGCCAGAGGGAATCGCGTTTGTCTTCTTTGTTCCTGGGATCACGATCTCGGCATCTTTTCCAGCGTTGTTTGTGAATTTGACGTAAAAGTAGTACACTGACTCGTTGAGCGTGGACTCTCGACCTGCTGAAAACCAAAAATAGACTTAGTTGTGGGTTAGTTTCTAATCGCTTTATACGTCAATGGGAATCGAAACACTTAATTGGTCACCAATTTGAAGTTCTTAATATCATCTACAGCGAAAAGAACTAACACTTGAAACATCACCGTTGCAAGTTCTCAGGGCGTGAATAAACCTTACTAACTGAAACGTTGATAATACTGAAACATTGTCAGATGTCGCCTAATTAGCCGAGCACGCAAACGGCGGATTTTATGTCATACATATAAAGAACGAAAGACCGTGTTTGACAACATGATATCCAAGCACCGAGAAGAGTTCAAAATACAACGTGTAGCGGAGTATTTTTGACGACCTTCGAGGTGTTTGGATATGTTGTCAAACACTGTCTTGAGAATCAATATGAAATTTCCAAATAATGCATATGATGTGAGCATACGGTATAAAATGAAACTTTTTTACTGTGATAATCAGGCAGGTCAAAATTAACCACTGCCTGCCATTAAGGTTTAAGACACAAAAGCACAGTCGGTCTCTTGTTTCTGGTAATTACCTTGACCAAAGCATGACTTCCTTGTGTCGTCCCAGGTCATGTCGTCTGGACATACCATGGTGTGTGGTTCGCCCTTCTCACAGTGAATGTAGCGAGTGATGTCGGTGGGATCTTTAAACAATCCCTCAGGCTGAAGACAACGGACTGAAACACACAAAAGAACGATAAGAATTATTATATCAAAAATATCACTTTATTAGTTGACTCGGTAAGGGATTTTAAGAAGGTCACCCTTGCCTTCGGTGATTAGCTGTAGACTGGTTAAACCAAATCAAGGTGGTCTTCGGTTGCTAAAGACGACAGTACACTTTTGAAGTACTTACAAGCTGCTGTTATCGTGACGAGCTTGATGTCATCCTTGTTAGGACTGGGTACCACTGTAACAGGACCCTGTTGACCATTCACGAGAAGCTTGTCCCCAGGCGTCCACGGATTCTCGACTTTAAAATCAATGGGAATGTCATTTTGCTGTCCTTTCTCTTCAAAATTCAAGTCTAACGTCATGTGAGGCTGCACAGTGTATCCCTCGTTCTTGTTCTGTCCTTTGCTGGGGATCACTTTCACTTGCGCACCAGCTTTGTTGTCAAAGCGAACTTTGACGAAACGAGTTGAGGAGGAGGATTCAACTAATAAAAAGAAAAAAACTGTTATGTACTTGATGGCGATGCTTACAGGTGGCTTTATGCCATGACAAACAGACTACAACATTCATAATTATTTCCGGCAACTTCAGTTTTCTCGAGTTCTTTGTGCTGTTATATTGAGTAATCCTGATCAGTAAAGAACCATACTCAGAGGCAAATTCTGTTTATGATTTATAGCTCAGTCTAATCACAAAACGGAGCATTCGGTTGTTCGTTCGCTCGTTCGTTCGTTTATCATTCATTCATAGTTTTTTTTTTTAAAAGTTTGAAGCTCGCAAACTTGAAGAAAGAAAATACACAGAACCTCACCATTGCTGGAGAAGTACAAAAATACATCCTTGGCGCTTTCCGCCGGAACTTCCGCATCAAAGAACTCTAGAGACGAAGCGACCATCCTGGTGTAACCGTACGGCGTCCCTGCCGCATTACGTCCCACAACAAGCCTTGTATATGTATCTTTGTCGTGATCACCTTCTTGAGGCATGTACCCCAGCGCACGGGTGATCTCTGTACCGTTTATATACAACGCCAGACCGTTATCTCGTGCCCAGGTTACCATCACATACTGCCATACATTGAACGAGAAATCTGATTCAACCTGCAAAACAAACAGAAATTGAACAGAAAATTCTCAAAAAATAACATTCAGATAATTTTATAGAAACAAACATAGAGAAATATTGAATCAAGTTTGAGGTTCAACCTACCCGCCATACTTCATCAGGGACGGAAACTACCGCGTATAACTTGCCGTCCTTCACGAAAAGCGTGAAACCGCGTGACTCCTTACTAGAGCCACCGCTGTCCACAATGTAATGAGGCTCGTCCTTGTAGTTCTTAGCTGCATCGTCCAGTTTGAACCTGATGCCGAATGTGAGACCAGCCGTACACTTGTCAGGATTGCTCAAACATTCGCCTGCAATGAAAGGGACAAAAGGGTTGCATAACTATGACGAAGAAAGCCAAGAATCATTTGGCGATGAGGGTTGTTTTCTTTTTTATTATCATGACTAAGGCATCCAAACTACCTCTCTAATCCTAGGCACATAACTGGCAAAAGAAAGCTGCGATGAACCAGGACATAAACTTAAGGATTCGTCACATTCCTAATTGCTTCATGCTACAAAAACCAGAATTTATCGATATTTTTGTTCTATTTACTACTGCTACAATTGTAATAAACGAGCTACTGCTTTGTCCCGTGTTTTTATTTTCTTGGTTTATAACTAACGTTTCCAATCGCTATAACGGAAAGAAATCTTATCCACTGGATCCGATGTATGTTGAAGTCACTTCACTGACCTTCAAAGTTTCCCATGTCCAGCCAGGAGTCATTGCCGTTTAACAGCAGCCCTCCCTCCAAGGGAACTATAGCCCCGTGGGCCTCAGGGACGGGATCGTCTCCGACAAGGCGACCGTTTTCCACCTTGCGCAGTGGCCACATTTTCTTGTAACGTAACTTCGGTGCTGTGCGTAAAGGAAAACAAAATGGAAAATAGTGTTTGTGTTACCGTGGTAGTTTTATCATGGCTACCACCATGAATAACACGAATTCCAAGCTCCATTATCAAGGGACAATACACAACCTGACTCCAATGACACTCACGGAAAGTTAACAATTTACGCTTTCGCTTGGCTTATTATTATTATTATTATTATTATCATCATCATTATTATTATTATTATTATTATTATCATTATTTATTATTTTTTTTCAAAATCAGTTCAAATTCCACTTTCCATAATACGAGGGTCATTATCTACGACGTCCATTATCAAAACCTGAAATAAAATTTCCTAACTTTTGCCGAGAGATTTTTTAAAAATTAGAAATCAAATTCAAGTTAGAGTCGTCAAAAATCCTTTCAACTTTTCACGCAAACATTTCACGCAAACCTTAAACGAACCGCTTAACACAAACACACACTTACGAGCCACGGTTACGATGAGCGTTTTACAAGGTTTCCTTCCATCTCTGGGCGTCACAGGAAAAGGTTTGTCAAAATCGTTGATCTTCAGATGTGTGAAAGTTTCTTTGTCTTCAGCGATGAAGTAAACCGGTTTGATTGGCGCACCATCAGTTGACATGGACATCAATGTCACCTCCAGGGTCGAGTCAGGCACGATCTCAAACCCCTGGGGATTACCCTTGTCAGGCTTGAGAACAATTGTTCGGCCCACTTCGTTTGTGACGCACAAAGAAGCGTAATAGATTTTAGCAGACACTGCGGAGGAAATGCGCGGAAGGTTAGCAACAAAAATGTTGGACCGAGTTTGAGATTATCTGGTTGCATCAAAACAAAACGGCTGGGCTTATATTTGAAAGAGTGCTGGCATTTGACCTCTCAGCGTGCAAATAGGAATAAAAACACATGATAAAACTCCCTCCTAACGATACGAAACACAATAGAAGCTCAACAGTGGCCAAAGGAACATACCTAGTCCCAAAGAGAAACCATAAAGATACAAAAGGCAGTGCAGGGTCTGCAATAAGAGGCTTTGTAAACGGAAGAAATTATATCGTTCGTTCGCTCGTTCGAGATAAATCTAAACATAGAAGGGGATTGTTGGCGGTCAATATCCGGGGGGTTACTGTCGACCAGGCTTATTTTCCTTGCGAAATTTTATGGTATCTAATTATCGTTGCCACTTTTCAAAACTTACATCCACTCCAGAAGAAGATATAGGCCGCGTTGACGTCATCTTGTGACAAACGTCCCGCGAAGGTCGTGAAAGACGCAATATCAACTTTGGCAGGGTGAAACGGACCGTTATTTCCCACCTCTCGACCGATCACAAAGTCGTCCTTGTACGGGGCTACAGTGGTCATAGGGACTGGTTCCCCTGTGGTATTATGAACTCGTAGCTGCGAGTTGTAGAACATTTTCATTCCATCGTGTTTACTCCAAGTAACCATGACGTACACCCAGTCATTCAAAAGTGCACTGGCACTGCTTTCGACCTTTTAATGGAAACAGAACGTATCACAGGACGAGATGTTATTGATTACATGATGTAAGCCGCAGCTTTTACTTATCGCAGTCTCGTGGCTTCTTTGCGGAACTTCTTTCCTTGATGCATGTAGTCATAACATTTTTATTGCGCTAAACGCTGTCTCGGAGCGTGACTTGATCCCTAAAGAATAATCAATGGCGGAACGCTACTAAGTGTGCCAGGTTAGGATCTGCAAGTTACGCCATGTTACATTACGTTACGATCTGTCAAGTTGCGTCAAATAGCGTAAAATGGCGTTTGCAATAACATCGTGGAAGAGTAGCAGCCCTCATAAGCTTCTAATTCTATTTGTCGTCATAGTAGAGCAGCTGTAGTTGTTTTGGGGCTAGGTGCATTGTTTCCGTTGTTTGTTTTATTGCTCTCGCGAAGGGTTTCAAGCCATTCATGTGAGATCTTGCGAGAGCTACTACCTGACCCTAACACTGACTTAACAGTTAGATTACGAGCTCAGAGGTTCTCTATTATCCCCCCAAAACTTACCGTCCATTCCCTATCCGCACTTCTAACTACCGCAAATAATTTGCCTTTCTGCTTGAATAAGGTAAACCCGCGCATGCGTGGGTTGTGAGCACCGGTGTCCACAATATATCGCGGCCCGTCAGACTCATCCGCCTTGTCAAACTTGAGCTTTGTACCAAATGAAAGCCCATTCGTGCACTTCTCTGTGTTTACCACACAGTCGTCCGAAGCGATTTGGGCCAGAGCATGCGACTCCTGTCCATCAAATGCTAAACCTCCTTCTATTATTGTCATTTCTCCGTGTGTTCTCAGATCAGGGTTCCCAGGGATTTCCTGCGTGGAGTGTGGATGCCTTGCGTGGAATATGATGCTATTTTCTGAGAGTTTGTCGGCTGACGCAGGTTGCAGGCCAGAGAGCCGGCTGTCTTTTGCTAATATCATAGACCAGGAGTGTACTGGCTTGATTTTAGGGGCTGTGGAGGAAGCAGGGTAAGAGTTTATAAAGCTTGAAAGGAAAATTGTCAAAAATATCCCTTAGAGATGATATGAAAACAATTTTGCATAATAGTAGCCTTGGATTTTTTGGTAGAAGCTTAGTGGATTGAAGCCTGTAGACAGCTGGGTAATGGGCTGAAAGGGGCTGGCAAGATTCAAGCGGTTCATAACTTAGAAGTCACTTGCCATGAATAGCCCATTTGCGAGTTGCCTTAAGCCTCTCTATTAAAGCAAGGCCTGGTGCAGGAAGGACGCCAAGACTCGCTTTGAGAACTGAAGAAGCTTAAGGTAATTCGGAAATGGCTTATTAAGGCCGCCGATTCAAAATAGAATTCTCCATACAAACCTTTAGCACCAAGCCAAAGACGCAAACAATGCAAAACAAACAACAAGACAAGAACAAAACAAAGAAGAAACGAAACCAAACTCGTCTTCGACTCACCAGGGGCAGTAATGGTCATGTTTAACACTTCATCTTGAAATTCTCCAGGAGTAATTGAAATCTTTTTGACTTCACCATTAATCTCCAGGGCGTTTTCAGTCTCGAGATCCTCAGCGTCAAATGTGACGGGCTGAGAGAGAGGCCCGCTCTTGGGGAATATCATGGACACCTTCAAGAAACCATTTTTTGGAACAACATACCCTCCTTTGCGGCCTCTCGACGGTTGAACTCTTATCTCACGGCCGACCTTGTTGTGTAACAGCAATGTGATGTAACGCTCTTCAGGTCCTGAGGGCCCATCTTATAATAAAGAACAAAAGAAATCGGTTAGACTAATGAGTTTTCGCGGAAATGCCGCTAAGATTTGCCACCCACGCTAACTCCGGACTCATCATCTTGTTCCCTTCCCCCGTTTTTCAGCGCCCAGCGCCCAGCGCCCAGCAACCAAACACGAATATTGAACGAGGAAACCGGTTGATTCTAGGGTTGAAAACGGCTGACTAGAAGAGCCTAAATCCGCGACGCATTTTCAGTCGTCTCAGAGCCACTTCAAGATGCAGACAACCATACAATTTGTAAATACACTGCGTTAAATGTTGAAGTAAGGTGGCTAACGTCTTGTTAAACAATTTCAAACTTTTAACGGAGATTAACACTAGGCCTTCTCCTCTTTCCTGCCCATTTTGTAATGTAGGGTGTAAAAAACATATCTCCTCACAAAGAATGCCAAAAACCACTTCACTTTATATCAATTTGCCACAAAAATATATTCCACTTACTCAAAGGAGATATCACCACATCAGTAACTTTTTCTTTAATCTTAGCGGGCTTTACGATAATACTCTTGCGATTGTTAATCATCAGCGCGGAGTGCGAATCGGGATCGAAGGCCCTCAGCAGCAGGGGCTCAGAGCTCTGGAACTCTCGCGTGATCTTCATAATGGCACCACTGTTGATGTGGAATCCCTCGTTCAGCCCCTTGTAACTAGGCGCTATGATGGACTTCTTGCCGGCGCGGTTCCTGACTTTTAGGGTCACGTAATACAGTGAAGGCTTCTCAGCGATGTGCTGCCTCGCAGTGGGAACTTGGGATTTTTTCTTGCTTGAAACTGAAACGGGGCGCATCGAATTAGTAATGCAGTGATTTAACAAATATCAGGTGATGAAGTAACGAGAAATGGAACTCTGCAGAGCGAATAATAGATTTCTTAGTTTTAACAATATTTGAAGTTAGTTCCCTGATTAGTGGACCTGTCAACTTGCTAAAAAACTACACCGCTTAATTTGAAGTGTTTATTGATTGATAACTTCATTAAAACTAAAAGAGGAAAGCTCGACTACAATCTTTATGGGTAACAATACGGATTCCAGACTAGTTTTAGCGTCCACGTTCAGTGGACTAAGAAGAGACTGATAAAGTTTTAGATTGTTAACTGAGAAACTGAGTAATCGAATTCAGGCCAAGAGAAATTCTTCTGGTTTCTTTGCCGAGTCCTAGTTCAACTACATTGTATACAATACAATACATGACTTTATTTTATCTTGAATGTACGGAGTAGCTAAGAAGCTAATATCTTCGAGAAAAATAAAATTATAAATATAAAACAACAAGAACTACCTGACTATTAACTCTTATATTTGTCTAAAATATATATATATATATCTAAAAAATAACTTTCAAAGCCTAGTGTAGTGATCAGCGATCAGGCCTGAAAGAAGAGTGTTTCCATGAGGCGTCTGAAATGTTTTTAGGGAGAGTTCCAAGTTTTGCATGCAAAATACTTAAAAGAGTGAAGACCATAAGAAGTGGAAGCAAGTTTACGCAATGAAAATATATCAGTTCCTCTAAGAGAGCAGACCGTAGAACGCAAACTAAGTACACCATCACCAACTCACGTTGTGTTCCAAGAACCACCACGTCTTTCGTGTTCCCCTTGGTAGCATGTGGTGTTATATGCATTTCCGTCGTGCCATTGACGGCCAGCGGTGTCTTGCCGTCCGTTGATGTCGCTGCGAGCGTGACTGGCTGAGCAGACGTGGTACCTTTGGTGATGTCCATCATGAAGCCCTTCTTTACCTTCCAGCCCTGAGCGGGGTTGTTGTCACTTGACTTGACTATCACGTCTTGTCCTGCCTTGTTCATGAAGCGAGCAGTGATGTAATACTGCTGTCCTCCTAACAGAGTAAAAACACATTCAATGCACGCATCATTTCACTGCGGGAGGGTAATACGTTATGAGATAAGAAAACGGAACAATAAAATCTGACGGGCTGTCAACGCTCGAAATATTTCTGGACTTCAGTGTCAAACATAAGTTGAACGTCAGGAAAATCGCTCACAGTTAACCTTTCACTGTACAAAACCGGCAAACAAAGCCTGCGGAGCAATATGAGAGATACATCGGGGAAGAAAATACCAGCCTACCATACTTCGTACTTCTTTGAAAAACTTTCAAACTTACTCTTACGAGCAACACTTTTATCAAAACCTCCAAAAATCTGCACTCCAACTGACTTTCCCATACTTTGCAAACAACTTTACAGTGCCCCCTTCTGCTAAATTGCCTGACTTCTTCCTGATCTGTGGCGGCCACGACAGATAAGTGCTCTATCTCAGGACTGGGAGGTGAACTTAAATCAAACTACAAACCTTGTGACATTCCTGGAGCGAGAATCTCGCAGGTTGTAGGTGCACCTTTGGTTAAACTTGGTGTTAGTACAATATCATCTTTGCCATTTATTTTCATCAACTGGTTCGACGCCGGATCCACAACCTTGAAAGTTATAGGAGAGTTACCGTTGGTCGGTTTGGTGAAGGACATCATGAAGCCCTTCTTGACAGGGAAGCCCTGAGGAGGGTTGTTGTCGCTCGGCATTAAAACAATATTTTTGCCGGACTTGTTCATGATCTTCACTGAGATGTAATAAGTTCCAGTCGCGGACCCACCTAAAAGAAAGAAAAACTTCTCATCAGTGACAAACGCCTGGGTAACATCAACGACATAAGAAAGAAAAAAATGGGAATTTATTTTACCAAAATAAATGATGTTATGTAGGTTGTGACATAACTAGACCCAGTGCTTGGTTGGGGGAGTTTCTGTCCTCCGGAATATAGATATCGCTAAATGTGGTCCACCTTCTCTTTTGCACAGCATTCTCAGGAAGTGACGGGAATTTTCCCTCTCTCCGGCACACTCCATTTTCTACACTAGCTAGCGGTTTCTCCCTATCCTTTGCTGAGCTAGTACTTCGGTATGTTTGTAATTTTAGTTTGCTATCAAAATAAACGGCCAGACCTGTGGCTAATGTATTCCACTTGGGACTGTTGAGTTTTCTTACCCAGCAAACAGAGCTAAGCCAAAGCAGTACCCATATGAATTATGTATATGTTGTATTTAAGTGTGAGGAACAAGATACATAAGAAAAAGTTTTGTTCATTATGTAGTTACATTTATGTCTAACAGTAGTAGGGCTTCAACTTGTGTAGTACATGCTGCAAAATATTGCATGGGCACAGTGTTTTTTATGCATTCAAGTCTTGTTCTAGTTACGCTGATCTCTCGCGACTGTGAACTAGCTACATGTAATGTATCATACAAGGTTCTGAATTGAGACAAAACACAATCAATGCAAGAAGAAATAAATCTGAGTTAATAATGAACAAAATCGTCTTTTCGCGTCAAAAGACCCTTGAATTTAATTAACCTTGATTTCTTGGTAGAATTATAGAACTTAGGTACAGTGTTTTAAAGCGAACATTCCTGGCCAACACTTTACTGCAAGAGTTCGATGGAAGATCAAGACAGTATCCTTTATTCGATGATTTCCCTAAATTCTCACCACTTGTCTGCTTGACAAAGTATTAACACTGTAAAAAGAAATTTTATTCTGATCGCTGATATTACCTCCTGCTCCATCAATCTTTTCCTTGGAGATGACCACCACAAACGAGCCTTTACGCGTCAGCTGCGGCGAAATAGTCAGCTTATCTTGATTGTTAAGCAGTAGTTTCTGAGAAGCAGCCTGGGCACTAAACGTCACTGCTTGGCCAACAGCTACATCTTTGCGGACTTCCATGGTGTATTTTTTAAGTATCTACACGATTAAAAAAAGGTATTAACTAAGTGTCCATGTCTACAGCCTCAGATATCGACCCGGGGTTCTTTCGTAACTGTTTTAGAGTCGTAACGAAAATAATTGACGTGATTTGATCTCATCTGATTGAACATATTAAGACGCCTTTGGAAACATGTATACTTAAAAACAAAACAAAACAAAACAAAACAAAACAAAACAAAACAACAACAACAACAAAAAGCAACAGCAACAACAAAAACAAAACAAAGCAAAGCAAAGCAAAGCAAAGCAAAGCAAAGCAAAGCAAAGCAAAGCA